TTTCAGTCAGGTATAATAGAACAGTCTATATTTTAACACTTTGTCACCACCTCTAGCAGTATACTGATGTACCTTTATGGGAACACACTGGCTTAACACTTATGGTACACTGGCTCTAACTTGAGCAAATATAAATCATGCCATGGATTATTACGGAATAAATCATCTCAAAGATGTCAGAAACTTTTTCATCCTGTGTAAAGGGACGAGGTGCGTTAGCTAAATTTTATAAATTCAAATAAATGGATGGACCTGTTTTTACATTATGCGCACTTTAAATTGTTCGGTAGTTAGAAAAATCAGTAGTTTAAGACATAAAACCAGCATCATGAACTAAACACTTCACAATCGGAAAGCCTACCCACAAAAGAATGTTTATAGCATGTATGATTCTTGTAGCAGGTGGTGAATTAAACTTTAGAGAAGCTGACAGACAGTTGTTGGTCACGCTTTTAAAATTCCCAATCCTAGGCACTGGTTTACTTTTTTAGCAGCAGTGGCCAAGGCAGAGACCACAGTCTACTAGACTAGCAAGCTGTGAGAGGTAGCCTATGGTGCTCTTTGCCTTTTGCCTTTATTGTTTTCCCATCTTTGTTAGTCTATTTCTTTATATAGAGCAGACTTCTAGTGATTTCTGAAATGTAAAGTTGCCCTCAGACTTATAATGATTGTCCACTACTGCTTTGAAGTGACACTGACTATACATTTGTCTAGTATAATCTCTACGAAGAGAGAGAGTGATAACAAACTGCCTTCTCAACAGATGTCTAGAAAAATCATGATTCGACAGCTCATTTAAGATTAAAGACCAGCGTGTTCATGTGAGATGAGAAACTCTGATTGTCCTGCTTACTGGCATGGAACATGACCATGGTACTTGTTGGTTAATACACGGGTGGATTCATAGCTAGTGCAATGGAATGTATGCATTGTGTTAGTTAGTAAGTAAAATTTACCCCACCATGATATCACACAGAGCGATAAACACCCGGTGACATAAAGTACCACTGTGCGGATGAGGATCACCCGTGGAGAGGCCCTAGAAACTGCGTTCAACTATTTTTTTTCATATGCAGTTGATAAGCTGTTAAACTTTTTTTTTTTATGCTGACTTCAGACAGAGGTCATTGCTAACATGTTGTGTTCAGCATCACTGAACAGGGAGGCATAAACATGTGCTGCACATTTCACAAGTAGAGCAGCAGGATTTTGATGGTACTTTGAACAATGGGAGACAATGGAGGTAAGTTTGTTTTGCTAACAGATCAGCATATACAGTTATGCCTGTCCACAAATTCCTGTGTGTAGTAACTTTTATAGTGCAAGGTTGTTAGTTTCTACCTTTCTGTCTTTTATCTTTTTCCCCATTGATGTTGCCATTTATCATGGTAAATTTTTGTTTAACTTTGAACACTTGACATAGATAATAAAGTCACTGTTTAGCTAGTGGGAGGAAGGAGTGGTGGCATAAACTATGTAAAGATGAATTGCAAACAAATTTGTGTCCCTTTCCTTCAGAATTTCATGTGGTAACATTAATTTGGGCATGTGAGTATGCTTCTTTCTGTCTCTTGGTGTGTGCACTAAAAACTTGTTCAACAGTCGGCACCAAGCTCATGAGGCCACATATTTTTATTTGGGATTGTGAGTATACATTTATCTGTCGTTTGATGTCTGTCTCACACTTGTTCGGTAGTTAGTGCTGAGAACGTGAGGGTGCATGCTTGTTTCTTTCTCTTTCTTGATGCCTGTCTCAGACAAGTTCCGCAGTTAGTGCTGAGACCACGAATGCACATATTTGTAATTGACCATGAATGTGTCTGTCTCACATATGTTCCACAGTTAGTGCTGAGACCATGAATGTGTCTGTCTCACATATGTTCCACAGTTCGTGCTGAGACCATGAATGTGTCTGTCTCACATATGTTCCACAGTTAGTGCTGAGACCATGATGTGTCTGACATATGACAGTTTGTGTGAGACCATGAATGTGTCTGTCTCACATATGTTCCACAGTTAGTGCTGAGACCATGAATGTGTCTGTCTCACATATGTTCCACAGTTAGTGCTGAGACCATGAATGTGTCTGTCTCACATATGTTCCACAGTTAGTGCTGAGACCATGAATGTGTCTGTCTCACATATGTTCCACAGTTCGGGCTGAGACCATGAATGTGTCTGTCTCACATATGTTCCACAGTTCGGGCTGAGACCATGAATGTGTCTGTCTCACATATGTTCCACAGTTAGTGCTGAGACCATGAATGTGTCTGTCTCACATATGTTCCACAGTTCGGGCTGAGACCATGAATGTGTCTGTCTCACATATGTTCCACAGTTCGGGCTGAGACCATGAATGTGTCTGTCTCACATATGTTCCACAGTTAGTGCTGAGACCATGAATGTGTCTGTCTCACATATGTTCCACAGTTAGTGCTGAGACCATGAATGTGTCTGTCTCACATATGTTCCACAGTTAGTGCTGAGACCATGAATGTGTCTGTCTCACATATGTTCCACAGTTAGTGCTGAGACCATGAATGTGTCTGTCTCACATATGTTCCACAGTTCGGGCTGAGACCATGAATGTGTCTGTCTCACATATGTTGTTCCACAGAAAGTGCTGAGACCATGTTGAATGTGACCTGAATGTCACTGTCTATGTTCCACAGTTCGTGCTGAGTGCTGAGACCATGAATGTGTCTGTCTCACATATGTTCCACAGTTCGGGCTGCTGAGACCATGAATGTGTCTGTCTCACATATGTTCCACAGTTCGGGCTGCTGAGACCATGAATGTGTCTGTCAGTTCGGGCTGAGACATATGTTCCACAGTTCGTGCTGAGACCATGAATGTGTCTGTCTCACATATGTTCCACATGGGGTTTAGTGCTGAGACCATGAATGTGTCTGTCTCACATACATACAGTTCCACAGTTCTGCTGAGACCATGAATGTGTCTGTCTCACATATGTTCCACAGTTCGGGCTGAGACCATGAATGTGTCTGTCTCACATATGTTCCACAGTTCGGGCTGAGACCATGAATGTGTCTGTCTCACATATGTTCCACAGTTCGGGCTGAGACCATGAATGTGTCTGTCTCACATCACAGTTCGGGCTGAGACCATCCAGAATTGGACAAACAAAATGCAAAGAAAAAGTAGTATTTCGCTATGGATGTATCTATCTCTTTCTTGGTGTTTCCCTCCAGTGCATGCACACACGCTCACACAAATTGGAAGTAACGGACCACTTTGAGAAGATAGAAACAGACCAGCACTTGACATCTTTACTTCCCAGAATATTTCCTAGCACCCAATCTTAGGCTGGGTCAACCTGGAGGCATTGGTCAGTTTTTAAATATCCCTCCCCTGTCAGGATTCAAACATATTACCACGAGTCAGACAGGAAGGCCTGGTATCCACCCCACTATCACAGCTCCTAGACTTTATCTAGTCAAGTCAAGGATCCATATTAAGGCAAGAGGAGTGGCAAGCAGAAAGGTCAAGAACACGGGCTTCTATGCGTGAGACCCAGGTTCAAATCCTAACCTGCAGAGTCTATGGTGACAGCAGTAGTCATGCAGTCCTAAATCTTCACGCTCAAAGACCTCCTCACATACACCGCAGAAATGGTAAATGCAGGCCGTAATTGTCAGTTACGGCAGTGGTGCATATTTTTAATAGACTAGCTGGCGCTCGATGGGTGATATGGTCAACATTGCATACACCACTTTTACTTTCTGGGACATTTCTTAAGCTGCCATTTTTAGACTGGATGTACTCGGGAACCAAGGTCATCTTATTTCTCTAATTTTGCTCCAAAACCTGTTTAATGCAGATTTGAACCAAAGATCTTCATTATGGTAGGCGAGTGTCTAATCGCTACGATACTGTGGTGCCCCTAGACTTCAAATGCTGACTATGAAAAGAGAAAACAACTCATCCATGTCTCATACCATGCTTTGTATGCTGAAATATTTATGTAGTGTAGCCAGTTCTTTTAGCCGCTTCTTATGTTCATTATTAATGAAAACTGTTTCCCAGGAGTGTTAAGACATTTGAACACTGGCTCTGTCCTCACATTTTACTGAAGCACAATTTAAAAAAAAAGTGTACTAAATGTTGTATAGCCTTTTCTTTGCATGCCTTTCACACATATCTAATATTCTTTGTGCTCCTACTTTGTTCAGTCTCTCTCTCTGTCTCTCTCTCTCAATCTCTCTCTCTCTCTCTTTGTTAATTTATGTTTTCTCCTTTCTTCCAACTCTTCATATTGATCTCACTAATGGCTTTGTCACATCTCTGCTGAAGCCTGATTGTGACTTGTCTTCATGTTGCCATTGATAACTTAGTAGTTAAAAAAAAAGTAAAGATCCTTTTTCACGCCTTAGGTGCATCAGGTATATGGGAAGAGCAACCCATATTTGTACAGACCAATCGGCACTAGGTGGGTAATGTGTTCAGCATTACGCCGGCCGTCTTTACTTCTCTAGGACAGCCATCCTGGTACCCATTTTAGGCTGGGTCAACCTGCGAGGCCCCATACCATAATAAAAATCCACGCAGCCAGCAGTGGGTTTCAATCGTGGTATGTTAGAATTACGAGTGGGACTCGCAGCGCCTAAGCCACGGACGCCGTCATTGATAACTTGAGCAAACTATTTTTTTAACTGTCTATCCACTGTTGTAGATACAAGTGTTATTACTTATATTTTTCAAAGTATTTCTGTGCTCCAGTGTTGTTTTTTCTTTTCTTTTTTGTTGAATTGTGGTGTTCTCGACTTCTGCAGCATGTTCTGGGTTTGAAGTAGGTCAAGTTTTATATTTAAACATCTCTAAATATATAAAGTTACAAACCTTTTTTTTTAAATGCAGTTTCCGTGACTCATTGCTGTATAATTGCTTAAATTTGTCATTCCTTATTTATTGAAATCCCACATAATTGAATATAATTAATATTTTATTTAAAATGCAGCTGTTAATCTCAATTACAGATCATGTCTGATGTTAATATACTGAGGTATTTAAACAAGTTTTCTTCTTCTGTAAAATGTTAACTCTGTGTATCACTGTAATTCATTTGGAAATTGGCTCCTAAACAACATTAACCTTTTTTCCCTAGTTGTGAATTTTAGTTCAGTTTATGAGCATGCTCACAATGCTTAAATAATCTGTTTAGTGAAGGTTTTAACTACATTACCATGCACATGTCACATATTATTTGTGTTGTAGTATCTGTCTTATTTCACCGGTGTGCAGTTGCTTTTACTGTGCAAGGAGAGATCTGAATATATGCTTCTTCTTCTTCTTCTTTTGTTTGCTTGAAATAGATTATCTATATCTGCAATGTTGTCTCTAGTATGAACTTCACTGTCTTTTATAATTCACACAATGACCCGTAAAGCTTGACTTGCACCGATGTTTCTCTTGGCTGAATATATGCAATCCTGCATTAGTCTTTGTTCTATTGACCGAACTAGCCGACTGTATTCCTTGGGCATTTTCTTGTCATTTCTTCTTTTAATGTTATTCTTCTTCTATGTTCACTGAACTCTTTTGCCTGGTAAAAATTTTAAGAAAAGGCATCTTCTCAAAATTGTATCAAAAAGACGTGCGTTGTTCTAATTCTCTGAAACTCTACCCTAACAAACTATCTGAAGAGAAGAAGAAGAAATTTGAAGTCTTGGTCAGTTTTTTATAAAAATACAAGTTGTTGAACCCTGTGAACAGCGAACAGACAGGCAAACCTGCAAGCTTTTCTGTCATTATGGTCACCAAGTCACAAAAACAGAGAGATTTTTCATATTTGAGGTCACCACTTTGCACAAAGGTGAATTTGTTTGTTAAGAAATAACTACTTTCCTTCTCATCGACCAAGAAAACAAGGGTTTTGTTAACACAGACACAGAAAACAATGTGACCTGATAAGTTTATTATGAATAACATTGACAGCAACAATGCAGACTTTTGGCAGTTGAGTCGGCATGTATGAGAACAGAAGGCTAGAGGCTGACCAAGAAAGATTGAAGGTGAAAGGGGTAAAAGAAAAAATACATTATGACATCAACACAGTCTAAGCAATTAGCTAAAAACTGGAAATTGGATCCATCTCCTCTCTGTGATGCTTTAAGGCTGGGCTATTTTAAAAAAAATGTTCTTAGGGGCTAAAATTGTGAACCCCAGCATGGAAAGATCAAAAATATAGTACAGCTGGCAGTGATCCTTGGGCCACTTGCAAGGCATCTGCGAGCCGCCAGTTGACTAGCCCTGCTTTACAGTATAAGCAGTAGGACAGAAGAAGTAATAGAAGTAGTATCAGAAGAGATTTTGGTCTCACCATGTAATATTCTCAAAGACAACACTAGCTGCATATATTCAGTGCACCCGTTTTAAAGATGGTGTCACCAGATTTTTAAAATGACATGTATCTTTCTTAAAATGTTGTATCTAGTAGTTTTCTTTCTTTTCATGTGTCTTTTTGTGTGTGTTTCAGCTGTGAAGCTGGGTGGTGTTTCAACACCAAAGCCGCCAACTAGTGGTAAGATTAATTCTAATCACTTATTTTTACTTCGCAGCTAGCACTCACCATTTAGTGTGCACATGCATTTTACCACCCATGCTTTTGTGTTTTTTCTCTATATATTCACAATATGCATAATATTATATGAAAATCACATGCCTTATTGGTAAAATACAACTGCTGTGGGAAAGATGGGTCTTTGGAAAGCAAAGACGCATATGACATCTCTCTGTGTGTGTATATGTGTGTGTGTAGCAGTAGCTTCTTGAAGACAGCTAAGAGCAAATATGGCTTTAGTCTGCCATAACTGTTTAGAAAGGTTATGACTTACTACTTTAGCTTGCTCTGCAACAAACTTCCTTGTTTTATGCAGTATGAGAAGTTGTGGCAGAACAGCAGGAATTAAATTGTGTGACACAATCAACAATTGAGAGTTTTGAAGATAATAAAATCCCAATGAATCAAAGTGTGAGGAAACAGTACTAGCATTGGGTAGGACACACACGGAGCAAACCAGATAACAAAATAACTTTAATGTCATTACAGTAAAATACAGAGACAAAGGAATAAAGGCAACCAATGAGACATGGACAAGAGAACTACAGAATAAAGTGGGAAACAAAAAGATAAAGAGGTCTTGGGCTGAGCTTCATGCGATAGCAAAGGATAGGATAATTTAGCACAGAGTGGTTGAGGGCCTGTGTTCCATGGGGTTTTGATATGCAGAATAAGGAGACATTTTGAGAATATACTGACAGTATGCAAAGAGACAAGCGCAATATGAGAGAATTGGAGAGTTTATGTCAGCTCAGTGCAAAGGTTTAAAAACCTTACGAAGGAAAATACCAGAATAGGCAGAGAAAAACACAAATTTATGTGGAAAACTTAAGCAGCTGGGCACAGTATAAGTAAAATCAATTTCATACAAATGTCAGCTGCCAGAGCTTTAAAGAATCGTGTTTGCCAATAATTGCTTCAGACCAGGCACGTAAATAAATTGGTGTATTGTTTTGTTGCTTTCACGACAAACCTACAGAATGAATAGGTTGAACATGGCTTTATTTGTATGTGTACGAGAACATGTTTGGATATAATAGGAATATATTTATGTCACTAAAACATCATTCTTGTATTGTCAAAATGAACTGATGGAAACTGTCAAGTTTCTGTCTAGTCCAAGATGTTGTCACCTAGAAAATTGATAAAGGTTGTGACATTTTCTAACCTCTATTTCCAATCTTTCAGACAATGCTGGGCCCATTATCAAAGAATCTCAGGAGTCGGCGGAATATCAGCAGGATTTGCAGGTTGTGCTTGGAACAGCCTTTGGCGTCATTGCCATGGTTGGTCTCATTGCACTGGCATTTTTGCTATATCGTGTTTACCGATCGCGACACACAGCACTTTCCTGTAAGTAGAATTTTTATGATTACTTTCCTCTTCCATTTACTGTTGCTTGAGTTATATGTGATGTAGGTTTATTCAAGATTGCAGACAGTGTTTGAATTCTTACAAACAACTGTATGGCAGATCTTGAGAGTTATTTTTGTTTTTTAATAATTAAATTTAGGAAGAGACTTGAGTTGCATTAAGGCTATGGCAAAGGTACAACAACTGATAGATGAAAACGCTGGGCTAAATGGCTCAGCAATGTACACTGATGATTCTGTTCATCAGGGTGAAAGATCTGGCTGGGAGTTTTTAGCTAGATTGAAGAGAAAGATTGTGGCAAGACAAAGTGGGTCTTTTTTTTATCTACGTCTTCAGATGAAGATGGAGGTGGAGGCATTCACTGCAGCTTTGAAACCGATACCAACAATGTTTACCGGGGAAATGATAGTGTCTTTTTCTTAGTCGGAACTGTGGAACATTCAAAAGGGGCGAGTATGGCATGAGTGGATTAAAAAAAATCAGTTTTACAGATCTTACATGAACACACTGTCTGGGATGTGCAGGAGTACATGGGAATCAAAGAGCTAATCTTTTTAGCTATATAAGACATAGCTACTAGAAAACTCATACTGAACAAAGGAGACATTCTGAAGACCCATTTGTGAACGAATGCTGATAAAAGACATGAGGTTAGATGGCACAGTAGGTGTAAAGAATGTGTGAACTAGAGGAATATAGGATGGAACTGGCAAGAAGAAATGTATGAGAGGAATGACCAACATGTGTATAATCAGTTTGCTACAGGAGCAGTTGGCTGAGCATGAGACTATATACCCTGAGATCAGTAAATTGTAAGAATCTGCATAATAGCACACAAGACATAACTACAGATGCTCTTTCTTCTGCAGCAAATATCTCAGGGTGTAGAACTAATTGTTCCATTAGCACACTGGTTATAAAACATGCACCGGCTGCAACCGTCTGTTGTTAGTAATGTCTGTGGCTTATGCCCTGCAACCATGGTTTGTATTCTGAGATACCCGGTTTGATCCAGCTATGAGCACTATGGCAGCAGACAGCCTTGTGTTATTTTTGACAGTGGTATTGAGAGCTGACCATTAGGGAAAGGGGTGGCAAACTACTGGATGTAAAAATGCATTTTTTTTAACTGGAGTTAAACATTATCACATACATCCTGAGACTCTCTCCCTAACTCATGTTTTGTAGTCTGATTCCTTAATGTGAAGGGGGAAACAACACTGAAATTACAGATAGTTAAGAATTAAAATACATTTTCATGTCACATTTGTTTTATGTTTAATTAATTATGCTTGTTTTAAAATCTTGGTTAAAACTTCTTTAATTTGCTGTTATTATTATATTTTATTTTCTTACAATAGATGGACAGAATGATGATATTGATGTATTTGAAAGAGATATTGCAGTTGGTAAGTCTTCTTTTTAAAACCCAAATATATATTTTAGAGCTAAAATTTTATAAGGATTATTATCTAGGAAAACATAGTTAAAGTTGTTGCTATCAATATTATTAGCTATCCACATTTGTTGATTGAAGAAGTCAGTGATTATCTTCCATCCACATCTAATGATTGAAGAAATCAATGATTATCCACATCTGATGATTGAAGAAATCAGTGATTATCTTCTATCCACATCTGATGATTGAAGAAGTCAGTGATTATCTTCTATCCACATCTGATGATTGAAGAAATCAATGATTATCTTCTATCCACATCTGATGATTGAAGACCTCAATGATTATCTTCTATCCACATCTGATGATTGAAGAAATCAATAATTATCTCCTATCCACTTCTGATGATTAAAGAAATCAATGATAATCTTCTATCCACAACTGATAATTGAAGAAATCAATTATTATCTTCTATCCACAACTGATAATTGAAGAAATCAATGATAATCTTCTATCCACAAATGAAAATTGAAGAAATCAATTATTATCTTCTATCCACAACTGATAATTGAAGAAATCAATGATAATCTTCTATCCACAACTGATAATTGAAGAAATCAATGATTATCTTCTATCCACATCTTATGATTGAAGAAATCAATGATTATCTTCTATCCACATCTGATGATTGAAGAAACCAATGATTATCTTCTTTCCACATCTGTTGACTGAAGAAATCAATGATTATCTTCTTTCCACATCTGATGATTGAAGAAACCAATGATTATCTTCTATCCACATCTGATGATTGAAGAAGTCAATAATTATCTCCTATCCACTTCTGATGATTAAAGAAATCAATGATAATCTTCTATCCACAACTGATAATTGAAGAAATCAATTATTATCTTCTATCCACAACTGATAATTGAAGAAATCAATGATAATCTTCTATCCACAACTGATAATTGAAGAAATCAATTATTATCTTCTATCCACAACTGATAATTGAAGAAATCAATGATAATCTTCTATCCACAACTGATAATTGAAGAAATCAATGATTATCTTCTATCCACATCTTATGATTGAAGAAATCAATGATTATCTTCTATCCACATCTGATGATTGAAGAAACCAATGATTATCTTCTTTCCACATCTGTTGACTGAAGAAATCAATGATTATCTTCTTTCCACATCTGATGATTAAAGAAACCAATGATTATCTTCTTTCCACATCTGTTGATTGAAGAAATCAATGATTATCTTCTTTCCACATCTGTTGATTGAAGAAATCAATGATTATCTTTAAATGTCTTGTTGACTTTGTTTTCCTACACCTGTGATTATCAGCAGCCTGTTTCAGTTTGTGTACTGATACGTTTTAGTGCCATGACAGGTGTCAAGAATCTTTCTTTATTATTTTCTTCTGTCTTGTCTTTTTGTACATTTTTCCAGTTGTTATAACATGTTCAAATTGTCATAACATGTTCAAATTGTTTCTCTTCTCATAATAAGGCAAGACAATTTATGACTCCTTTCTTCTGGTGTCAGTCATAAGTTGTTCTAGTGCCACTAGCATCTTTGATAACATTTAGGTAACTAATTTAACTGTCCTCTGAATTGTCACATTCTTCTATAAAACCACATGAGGTCCCAAAAGTTTTATTTATTTGTTTGTCCAGCATAAACAATGATATGTTCAATCCGAAATCCTTCTGAAACTTGACTCTAAGTTCAAGTTTTATAAAAAAAAATCCAGGTGGGGGGGGGGGGGGGGGGGGGGGGGGGGGGATGGGAGGGGTGGGGGGGGGGGGGGGGGGGGAGAGGGGGGGGGGGGGGGGGTTGAATCCCTAGACCACTGACAAGCAAGTGCAAAGTCTACAGATTCTTTGCAGTCATCACATCAATTAATTAAACCCCCCCCCCCCCCCCCCCCCCCCCACCACCACCACCACCACTACCCTTTTCTGGCAAAGGAATTTTTTTTTAATATGAAGGAAAGTAATCAATAAATATGAGTGGAGCAATGAATTTACATTCTTCCTCTTTTACCACACAAAAGGAAGTTGTTCACCTACCCACTTGTTCAAAATGACATAGTTATTTGTTATTATTTCATCAGTTTTTTGTTTTTTGAAAAGCTATTATTTCACCCTTCATATTTAAATTTTTCTTTTTATAAAAATTGTAAAACCAACCATGTCTACACATTTATAGTTGCAGCCAGTACCAAACTGTTGAATATGCAGAGTAGACACTGCCCAAGGACATCATGTCATCAGATATATCCAACATCATTTTGTGTAATTTCTTCTTACTTGTTGCAATGAAGACAGTGCAATGACAGTTATATGATGTTGATAAAAGAGGATGATGTATATCAGATTCTGAAAAAAGGGGGGGGGGGGGGGGGGGGGGGGGAACCTGTTGCTCAAATTTCTCAAGGTGATGAGTTAAGTGGGCAGTTGTGTTTACAATTGTATTTGTCTCTTTTAGCTGTTTGATTATATTTGATTATACATATGTGTATCCAAGTTACAAAATGTTCAAATCTTATGGCATATCACAAGATTTATGAAGACCATATCCTGTTTGTAACAGTCATTGATGACATACACATTTTTCAGCAAATAAAATACTGCACATTAATTAAAATGAAATTGTCAGCCATCTCCACAATGAAAGCTGGCCCAAGTCTGCCTACTGTTTTCTGTCTTCAGAAATATTATATGGTGAGGCCAAAAAACCACAAACATGATCCATTAAAAATGAAAATTCTGTGAGCCATGGAATTCGAACCCTACTTTATCAAGGATCAAGAACTGCATGCAAATAGTGAAAACATTCTGGGATAACAGTTACTTCTGCTTTTTTGTTTTCAGACATTGAGGGGAAGTCACAGCCTGTCATCTTGTTGCTGTATGCCTATGACTGTCCAATTCATGAGCAGGTTGTTGGTGCACTTGCTGCTTTCTTGATGGAGGCCTGCGGGGTCACAATTACATTAGATCTCTTTGAGGAAGGTGACATTTTGGAGAGGGGTATCGATGACTGGCTGGTCGACAGGCTGCAGGAAGCTGATTACATCATTGTACTTTGTTCCTTGGGTGCTAGGCTCCGCTGTTCGAAAAAGCGAGTCAAATTTAAATCAGATGAACACCGTGCCTTGCCAGATTATTTTGCAGTAGCCGTGGATTATGTTGCTGAGAAAATGCGAGCTGAGAAACAGAAGGGAATGAGCATGAATAAGTTTGTAGCGGTGTACATGGAGTACTCCACAAAGTCTGACATTCCCCCACAGCTGGAGACTGCAGTACAGTTCTGTTTGATGAAAGATATTCATAAGCTTCACACACATCTCAACATCCAGGGCCCTGAGTCAGACAAGAGCGATACAGCCTCCCAGATTAGTACTTGTGAGAATCACTACCATGAGACAGAAACAGGTGCTGTACTGAAGGCCACCATTGAACAGGCTAAAACTTTCTTTAATGAGAATCCTACATGGTTAGAAGATCGTCTGGAAATTGCTTCTTCGCGTCCACCAGTTCGAGGACACCGAGCTAGGAAATATAGACAAACCCCAATGGAAGAACCACTTTTAACGCTAATAGGAACACCACCTGTGCTTCATTGCTCACAAACAGCACCTTGTCATATCTTGGAGTCACGTGACCGGTTGAAACAATGTAACATCCCTCCCATGTTGCCTGACATAAGTCAAACATTTCAGCCAGACAATGGAACTGGTTCCTTGGGTCACTAACAGAATTCCTCAGGGGCGTCAGAATTCATTACCATCTTTGTTAGCCAGCAGCGGCCTTGCAGTTCCCCCATCTCGACAGACTTTATCCAGAAGCATGGACAGTTTCACCGCAGATCAAAATTTCCAGCAAGACCACGATGGGTTGCCTTGCTTTTTCTGTAACAGTGCCCACATGTATGGCAGGCCAGAGTGTAGGCTGACTGAACTCCAGCAGGACAAGGCCTTGGAACACTTTCAGATTTCAGCAGATGTATCTGCAAACCCCAGTCAGACTTCACTGCATCACTTAACCAGGGGCTTGACTCCCAGCAGGTCACAAACAGTTCTTCAGGCGGAGGTGCATCAAGAATGGGGTCACACCAGTAGAGGCACTTTAGAGCAGAAGTCAGCAACTTTTGCAGGAGATTCCCGTTCCTGGGACGTTGATCAAGTTGTAGGCAGTACCCCTGGGCCTTATCAGTCACTTCCGCCTCATCACCCACCTCCACACCAGTATAATCCCTCCACATCCGCAGTGATGGAGTGGGACACTCCTGTAGGTTTACGGAAGTGGCCATCTGATTATCCTGATTCTCCAGCATTCAAGATTCTGGATGGCAGAGATCACCGGCTGACCCATAGATCACTATCTAATGTGTCCGTGTCCACAGAGGACTCTTCATCACTCCCAGACGTTGACTTGCTGGAGAGAGATCTGCGCTCTATTCAGAATATCTCATCCTTTCATGATTTCATCACCGCCTCGTCTTTCACCAGTGATACATTTACACATAACACTTCTAATGGCTCAGGTCTGGAAATGACCAATGTGCTAAAGCCGTACAGAGTTGTCACAAAACAGTTGAGAAGTCATGAAAGCAGCTGTGTGTACATGAATGGATCTCTCAATACAGAGAGTGTGGACAGGGTTTAAGCTTCACATTGTGCCATACCTGTGATGCATTTTGTACTCATTGTTTAATAATATAAACAGATGGTGATATTTGCTCATATTCAAATTCGGAAGGTAACAAGGATTTTGTTTCCGTTTTGTTTTTTATTAAACAACCACACTTTGAATCTGTACCTTAAAAAAAAAAACTAAACTATGGTTACTGTTAATATTTGTTTGTGTGCGTGGCAATTTGACACATAGGAGGATTTGCTGCTAGTCTTCTGCCAGATGGAAGTAAGCATGAAATGTTAGAGATTACTGTTCATTGTATCTTTCTGTATGACAAACAAAGTAAGGACATTCTCAAATGTTCCTTGTTTATGTATGTTGGGACCACAATTAGGGATATAAATTAACTGCTCATAAGCTTCTTTTGTGTAACACAAAAACTTATTGCTGAATTGCTAGTCACAATACAGATGCCATTGATGCACACTTGGATTCAAGCTAAGGTTCAGGGCTGGAGAGTTATGATCTTGTTCCAAAGAAGGTGACATGACCCCACTATTTGAATAAATGAAACCATAGAAAAAAAAGTCTTATTGCATTTTTAAAGCCAAAATTGATAAAAGACCCCTTTTTTTTATTTTTTAAGGAAAAACAGTATTACAGAAATATCGATACAAAAAACATGTCTATAGAAAATAGATACAAGTTGCAAAAAGAGTCCATTAAAAAAAAACACATGCAAATGTAATGTATGTTAAATTAGCATTTTAATGTCTGTTGTCAGTAATCGTAAATGACATCTGTAATGTTAATACTTAAATGTTATCACATAAACAGTAGTAAATATACATATGATTTGAGAGTTTTTCACTTTTTCACCTGACATCCCATGCCATATGTTGTTAATCAGTCAGGCCTATCTAAAGCCTTGTTTCTTGTGTACTGCTAGGTTTTTCTAGTATGAATGTTCCACTATACTGTGATACCAAATTGTCTAACATCATCTCTGCCTGACATTATTTTTTTTTCCGCCTGCTTTCATATTGTTGTGAGTTACTCCACTTTTCCTTTTCTCCATGATACACATGGTCTTTGTTTAACTGGATAATATAATTCTCTTTGTGAGTTACATTTTCTGCTAAACCTGTCTCTGCAGCGTCCACATAATATTTCCCTTATGCACTGATTGTATGTATTTCTCTTCCATACATTGGCTCTGTATAGCTTTTGAGAACTTTTTTGAATTTTATTTTTTGAAAAAAAAAAGATATAGTGCATAGAATTTATTCTACATCTTTTAAAATGCTTGTGCTTTTTATTCTACATTTTAACTTCTTTAGTAAAACTTCCGTCTGTTCTTATCAAGGTGTCTGAATGTGACAACAGCTTGTTGCTTTAGTCACACTGACTTTGTTGTATACTGGAGGAATTTTTTTTTTTTTTTTACAATTACCAATTAGGCTTGCCATGACATGAAACATTTCAGAATATATCAGAGAAATGTAGAATACAGATACATCATACCAGAATGGCCAGTTTGGATTTGAATTAAGTGTGTGTGTGTTCAAACGTACAAATTGAAAATGAATTGTTGTGTGAGATGGTCCAAAGTTTTCTGATTCATGTCCACAAATGTTTCATATGAGGACCTGCTACATGATGACGATGATATTATTTACAAATTTACACAACAGAAAACAAAAAATGCATGAGATAGCTCACTCAGAAATAGTGGATTTTAGGAAGGGAGGTCTAAGTGGATGAGGGATGACTTTTCTAAGTGTGGTTTTGTTGCACACATTATGTTGGTTCTGCTATGCTGAGCTCATGTGAATATTATGTCATTTTTGTTTTTTTAATATTTTCATGATTCACCGTAATTAAATATTTATTTACCATAATAGTTTTCAATCAGTTTCTGTGAATGGATTAGTCTGTGAAAATAGTTTGCATAATGTCAGTGTGGTTTACCTCATGATTATTATTAATATAGACTTTTGTTCTGCTGCTTACTGGCCTTAACTCATCATTCTTTTACAACTCATCTTTTTATTCTTATGTTTTCTGCCAGCTTCCTCCATACAGGGTTATCTTCATGACTCACTCTGTTTTCTTCCAGGTTCTGTCAAACAGGCATACCTGTTTCTGCCTTTCATTGTTTTCTGCTAGCTGGCACAAGTTCTTAGAATTATTATCCTTCTGATCCAGTACCACATGCTAACTTCTGGACACTTCATTAGTCTTGTGCTTTGATCTTATCTACTTCTTAGGCACGCTATTTGTTTTACTCTTACCTTTCTCATATTCTTGGACACTGCATTGGTCTTATGCTTTGATTTTGTCTACTTCTTGGTCACTCCATTTGTTTTACTTTTGTCTACTTCTTGGTCACTCCATTTGTTTTACTTTTACTTTTGTAAATCCATTAGTTTTAACATTTGATTTTGTCTGCTTCTCAGACACTCCATTACTCTTATGATTTGATTCGGTCTGCTTTTAAGACCCTTCATTAATCTAAAGTTTTGATTTGGTCTCCAATTCTGAAACTTCATAGATCTTGTGTTATGACTTCACTCAGGGATTTTTTTTTACACCTCTGCCAAGATCCACCTGTCAGTGTAACCTATTGAATTTCATGATTTTAACAGTCTGCGATTATCAACTTTTACCAGGCCACAATTCTTAACATCTCCACATTAATGACTGTTGACATAAGGATATCTTTCATGACAAAAGTTATAGTAGTAGTTACTATCCTTGACTACAGGCCTGTCATTTTTTTCTGTAAATAGTTCCAATTTGCCTATTTGAAAACAAAAAAATCAGCTGTTGTTACATCACACATCCGCGCTGTTGTCTTTGTCCTTGCCTTCTCAATGTATAAGCAGAGAAGGTAAATTCTAATTAACGTGAAGTCCAAGGGACAGAAAAATCAAGTGGCCTGGCTGCTCTTTTGCTGTTGCGTCTGTGTTACCAGCCCTGGACCTTGTCTGTGTCTATGAAGAGTTCCCTCTTGACAGAACAAATTCTCAAAACAGTTAAACAAAAAGTGCTCTTACAATCTGTAAGAATAGGACCAGTGATGGATTAAAGTAGAAAAGAGATTAAATTTCACAGACATCATTATCAGGTTTCTAATGTGTGTGGAATTTAATCCATCATTGTGTCCTGTTGTTACAGATTCTAAGGGCTCTTATGTTTTGTTTTCAGAATTTGTGCTGTTGGTTTTGAATGTGTTCATACTTCCCTGACTTGCTTAAGTCAGGAGAGTACACCATTGTAGTAGGTGATGTAGCTATTCCAAGTGCCGTAATTGTAACTTCTCTGGAGGTTGAAAGGGGTGTCAGGGATTTGTCTTGTTGGATTGCCATCCAGGATAACAACTCTTGAGGAACAGGAGTGGTCAAAACTCCAGGCAGGAACCCCAAGAGAAAATGCCAGTCTGTAATCCTTATTGGTTTTCCAGCTGGACTCTTCTTCTTTTTAGCAATCACTAGCTGTAAATTCTGGCAAAAAGTTTCTGATTGCTCGTCCACTTCTGGACTTTGGTCTTATTCCAGAATTCTGATCGCTCGTCCACTTCTGGACTTTGGTCTTATTCCAGAGTTCTGATCGCTCGTCCACTTCTGGACTTTGGCTTATTCCAGAGTTCTGATCGCTCGTCCACTTCTGGACTTTGGTCTTATTCCAGAGTTCTGATCGCTCGTCCACTTCTGGACTTTGGTCTTATTCCAGAGTTCTGATCGCTTGTCCACTTCTGGACTTTGGTTTTATTCCAGAGTTCTGATCGCTCGTCCACTTCAGGACTTTGGTCTTATTCCAGACTTGGAGTTTTGCTTGCACATCCATTGCACAGATCTAGCTTATTTTTATACAGACAGTTGTTTCTTCGCCTCTCAGGCACATGCACTCTGACTTTGAAGGAGACACCCCTAATTAATTAGTCATCTTTTAGGAGCCAGTGGGTCTATACACCCACCCCCCCACCCCCCCCCTTTTCAACCACCCACCAGTAAGGGCCACAGAACATGGACAGCAGCACCCCTTTTATCTGACTACTTTAATGTACAGAATATAATCTAGTTGTACAGAAGCAGTTTCTGGTATTTATTTGTGGATAATTTTTTTTTTTTTTTTTTTTTTTTTGAACTCATCATTTTAAACGTATATTTATCGCTGTGAGTTAGTAGTGGATTGAAACATGCTGAAGGATTGATATTGAAGGAAATGAAATTCAAGAAATATGAAGTTTAAAATGCTGTCTTCGAATTTTTCATGTGAATCACCTTACATTTTGGTTACATTTTGTCTTTTATGTGCAGGTTTTCTGGACAGGCTTTGTTGTGTTGGTTTCACAACAGTAGCACATCAGGGGAATACATCTGGCTGTGAGTGATTGTCATAAACTTGTATAGTGAAAACTGATAGTGGTGTACTGCAGTGAAAACTGAATGAGGGGATGAGCACAAGAGGAGATTTCAGATCATCGGAAAGGATTCTCTTTCCACTAATGTTTTGGCCATTGGTCTTAACTCTCCTCCAGAGATGGGCCAATCTGGTTATGACTTTAAAATTTTTCTCCTGTAGTTACTCTGAAACATGGGTTCATCATTTTGACACCTCTTGTTCCTTGATGACACACCAGTGTGTACGCTCATGTAAAAACCTACTTTGCCCTTGGGAAGGCAAACAGCCATGTACTGGAGACCTCACCACATTCCAGGACAGTTGTAATTATACTAAGCTTTGTTGGAAGTTGATTTCTTTATGCCTGTAAGGCAATGAAAATGACTTAGCGTTTGTTTGCTCGTAAGCTATCTGTCATCAACATGTCCTCATGCATGATTTATGGAAGTGAACTATCTTTGTAACAAAGGGCACAGTTGTTCTTATTTAGCAGCTAAAAGGGTTTGTTTGCTCATCAGCTATCTGTCATGAACATGTCATCCTGCATGATTTATGGAAGTGAACTATCTTTGTAACAAACGGCACAGTTGTTTTATCAAACAGCTAAAAGCGTTTGTTTGCTC